TATAAGGGCCAAGGTACAAAAAGAGCAGCTTGTCTAGACTACCTACAAATTTTTTATTTCTAATGAGTAGGAAATAATAGTGATCCCTGAGCAGAATAGATGTGTTATTCATACATTTGTCATGTGTAGATATGTACATTTTATATGGATAACATCATAAATTATAACTGTAACTCTGTAAAGTACCATACCACTTAAATTTAAATAAATCTAAGAATGTTAACCAGACAATAAGACAAATAATCAAATCAAGTGAGTAACCATACATACCGGTCGTAAAGGAAGTCCAATTGAGCTAAGAAATGGCCGTGCAACAATATGGTCCCGAGGATGATGATATCGACAAGCTAATCCAAATTTACAGTCCCCCGTTCTCAGAAAGTATTGGCATTCGGGTTCACCGGGTCTTTCAGGAAATAATTGATCCTTAAGTATGTTTCCTGAAGGTCCAGTAGTAGAGGACAGCGGAGTATATGGTCTAGCAAAAGCTGATGTTGGTGATGACAATTGGGTCACTCCATATAAAGAAGTGGCCCCAACAGCAGGTTGAGCACCAGGAGATAGCACAGGACTTACAGGTGCCTACACAAATTAAAATTTGTCAGAAGAAAGCAACTTCCAAATGAAGAAAAATTGACTTTTCACTTTGCACACATGTCCCTCTCACCGAATAAGGACTCCATCCAGGAAATTGCACAACCCCTGGAGAAAGAAGTACAGGACCATAAGCCCCTTGTACATAGGAACCAGACAATACAGGGGGCCTGGCCACTCTCAAGTTTGCCGAAGCTCCTGCATACTGTTCAGGCACAGGAACGGTAGGAGACTGCACCTGTTGATAAAATTGAGGTGCAGATGCTGGCAATGGTGTGCCAGCAGGTTGAGGATGATGGAATTTACAGGTAACACCAAATTTGCACTGCCCCGTTTTTAAATAATAGGAGCACTCTTTCTCACCCTGTTCAAACAAAAGACAGTTAACAATTGCATTGTTTGCTGCGAGCTACAGGTGGGGAGAAGAACAAAAAGAAGAGTCATACCGGTCTTAATGGGTATCCGTAAGTATTTAGTGGAGCTTGACTTAAATATCCACCTCCATTTTTTGGATGGTGGAATTTACAGGATGCTCCAAATTTACAGGTTCCAGTCTTTAAATAGTACTGTTAACCAGAATGACCAAGAAGAATAAGTATAACCATTTTAAATTGGAAAGATACGAGTTAAAAATTTGCAGATTTAACATAAAAAATCATTTATGGAAATAAAACAAAAACCAAGACCTGACATGGAGGTTCCCCCACCCGTTCAGGGTACTCCCCTGTAGCTCTTACCGCCGCAACAACCTAAGCAGCATTTGACTCAACTGAGTCAATTCATATTCATACACTTTAGCAATAAGATGAAATAAAATACTCGCTATCTACATAAACATTCTTCTAACTCTCTTTTTTTTCTAACTAAAATAGACTTATGCAACACAACAAGACTATCCTTCAAACCGGATTCCCACTTTCAAGTGGCATTTCACATTAAGAAAGTAAAAATTAAATACAACTCTCCTCGCTAAAAAGGAAAAGAATTAACTAAACAGTAAATGAACATTCCTACACAACATCGACCTTCAGAAATAAGCAATAAAACCGACACAGAGCCAAAAAAGGCACGAAAACAATGCCTACTACAAAAACAAAAAACACTTGCATGAAACTCTAACCTAATGCAGAATCTCAAAGTGATGGAAAGGGTTACCGCAGCACGATCACGAGGGTGATTGTAACGACACCTGCTACCGTATCCGCACACACCGGTTCGCATATAATACACACAATTGGGCACGCCGGGCCGCTCCGGGTAAGATTCGCCACCACCGAGGGTTAAATGCCACATGGATTCTACAGAAAAACCAAAACCCTAATTAGAAGCCACTGAAAACCCCCCAAAATAACACAGCACAGGTTGGAGATTAATAAAAGCTAACAGACGAGAAGAGAAGAGAGAAAGACCTTCGAGAGCAGCGTCGATGCCCGGTGAAGGCCATTCGGGTTGGTTGACCGGGTTGGATCCGTTCCTGACGGGGGCCCGACCGTACAAGTCCATGGAAACGGGTTTGTGTTGGAGTGTCTGAAGTGAAGAAGGTGGTTGGTAGTAGAGAGGCGTTAAAGGATGTGGAAGATCGGAGAGCTGGTGTTGTTGGGTGGCTTGGAAGCGGAGAGACAGAAAAGGGATTTTCACAGCTTCACTGTACAGGGCGTGCGTTGGAGCGTGCGTGTGTGCGTGTGAGTGTGAGAGTGAAAGAGTGTGTGTTTTGTTTTGCTTCTTCTCTCTGACTAGGACTGTACGGTCTCTTGTTGTGATGGGCTTTTCAGCTCCATTTTCTTTCGCTGTTTTTCTTGTATTAATTCCGGTTTTTTGTTCTCTTCATCTCTGTCTACCCGCCACAGTTTAAAATCAGAAAACGGGGTTCACACTTAACCAGTAACCGACACTCATCCTTTTGTAAAGTGACGTAACTCTCCTTCCACTTTTCACACACTTATATTATTCCATTCCAATATAATATAATATTACATTCTTAACATAAAGTTCTATTTTAATTCATTAAAATAATAATAGATAAAATTCAAGTTAGCTAAATGAATATAACAAGTTTAGCTCAAATTAAATTCAAATTCCAAGGTGATTTGATTTCACTCATTTTCACCCGTTAGAAGTATAGTTTTGTGGACAGATTTCTGATTGAACTGTTTAAATTCTAAGCTGTTTTTCTTTGTGTGGGGACAAGAGAAGGGTTCCCAAATGCCGTCTGAGAGCGTGCCTCTTTATTTTTTCATAACTAAGTTTTGTTTATTACTATAATAATTCAGAAAGCTGGACTCATCTTCTTGTATTTATGCTGAATCACATCTACATCTTACTAGTTTTAGAATAATATACAATTCTTGTGCATTTTTAATAAAGGTTTTTAATCAATTGCATCACAGCTCTCTTTTTGTATTTTATTTAAAAGTAACATCTACTAAAAATTACATAACTTTTACAATTAAAATTTTTAAATATAAATATACAGATTACTATATAAAAGAAAATTTAATAGTTTAATGATAAGAAAGTTACTCTAATCTTGTATAAATTCTCCTTAAATAAATTTTTATTTTAATAAATAAACAGTTCCACCTTTTGTCTTGGTTACATATATATTTTTATAAAAAAAAACACACATAAATTCTAAAATGAGTTAATAATAGATTTAATCATATTGTGAATGGGTATTTACTTATTTTAATACTAGAATATATTTTCTAAAAATGTAACTTTTATGATATTTTCTAAGTAAATCATTCATTTTTTTTGTTGATAATACTTGTTATTTTTATATTTAAAATTTTCATTTTTATTTTTGCATAATTTTTATTTACGTTTTACATAATATGGTATTTTTAAATAAAACTAAGAAAGTGAGTGTTATTTAAAAAACAATCTAAGAATTAAAAAGACACTAATGTCATGTGTTAACAACATAAAATGTTTGTCATGGGTTAACAGAAAATATGTAGGTTGCTATTCTGATTAAAACTAGAAGATTCTTAAGTTATTTAGTAACGAACGAAAGATTAGTTTTCCTTCCAAACTATTTTAACATATGAACTTAACAAGGTTCAACTTTCAACCACTAGAAGTGTTTGAAAACTAATTTAATACCTCCCAATGATAAAACATTCATTGAATTTGAAAAGATATTAAGAGTTTAAACACAGCTACTCCTCTTCACACATCTTCATTTCATAACAAGCATTTTTCTTTTTTTTCACAGAAAATCAGACTTTATTTATTAAATCTTTATTATTTAAAAAGAAATATTTTCTTAAATTCTGACACTGATTAAATATTTCAGTAAAATTACCACATATATTATTAATACTTAAATTTTTATTTTTATTTCATTAACTAACGTTTTAAAATACTGACTTAGAATATTTCTCAGATTCAAAAATAGTTATAGAATGCATAATATATCTGCCAATACGCAAGACATGCATGAATGCAATAGTGCAAAGCAGAAAAAAAAATGCAAAAGAGATGTATTGAATAAAAGTAGTACCAAAACACTACCAACCTCCACCTCCAAGAGCAAGGTCAAATTGCCATTAGATATAGAAAAGTAAATATAACTCGGTTAAATTTTGCAAAAGAAATATTCTTTAAACCTGTTATGTGTGGAGATTGAGGGTAATAGCAGTAGCAAAACTGCAAGCAAACCATATTTACCTTCGTAAAATGTAACCACAATAATCACACAAGAGCAATAAATTAGGTAAAATAATAAACATTCCGAAGGGGCGAAGAATAGACAGTGTTAAGTTTTCTATTAAAGCTTATTTGAGATAATAATAATATAATCAGATGAGAGCATAAATGTGAATGACCTAGTATAGGCTCTTAAAACCGAATTGGATGATGGATTTCTAAACAGCGAAAGTGAATCTTTGAACAGTTTTAATTAAAGCACAGAGGAGTATAGACAGAGCAATGGAGGCCTGTGAAATCAATCCAATGGATAATGAGGACACATTTTCAAGTTTGCACTAGCCATGTCAACGTATCTCACCACTTTGTCTGGTGCTTCTGCTACTGCTAGCAGAGGCAGAACTCTGACTTGAGAGTTGCACATCAGATAGGGAAACAGACCCACCTTGTGAAAATATTAAACCCACAGTGGTACCGGAACTGTTTCCAGAAGGTATTCTGGCCGAAAAGGATTCCTTTTTGGACCCTGACATCAGTTCAGGCCGAAGCTCTGAAGAGGTTGTTGAAGGGGCCAGCTGAGACAGCAAAGAACCAACTGGATATGGAGTAACTGGCACATCAATGAGAGAAGATGCCGATGGACTGTATCTCATGGATCCCAAAGGATGGTCAAATTTGCACGTCGAGCCAAACTTGCAATGTCCATTTTGCAAATAAAATGCGCAAGGTTGTACACCCTGTTTTCTAGAAAACAAATCAATTAAGAAAAAAAATCTCAAAATAAAAAAACAAACAATAGCAATGTCACAACACATGAGGTTGTGCTTGAGAACAATCAATTATTTCAATAAAACTCATGCTTCAATCAAATAATATAAATACTTATCCGGTCACTAAACTCTATACACCACTGACACAGTTATAAATAAGAGGAAAAACAAATATATGAATTCATAAGTTATAACCACTACTGCATAATGCAGCCAAATTCATCAACGATAATTTTCTTTGCAGATGCATAGTAATCACAATCACAAGTGCACACAACTGCGTAGATTATTGCATCTGAAATATATGCACCTATGCATATTTAAAAGGAGTAACTTGACCTGTCATGTATCAAATTGGTGTATAAGTAACATTTTTCCCCAACAAGGTAAAAAGTAGCTAACTACAAGCCCACAACCAAAATGAACATACAATGTAATGATGAAATCATATCCTGTCCACTGTAGTCCCCAATACAGATCCTATGTTTCCATATGACATCCCCCCAAAGATGATGCAACAGCAAACATGCAAATCTCAATTCAAGATAGAAATCAACCACATCATCACTATATTGGAAGTTGTAGTTGGAAACTGAAATGCGTTAACCATCACATCCAAATTAGATTTCACCAACAGCAGGGTTTTCCTAAGCTGGAGAATCCTTCAAAAATGATAACCAAATTTAACAGTCCAAGATAGTAGCTTTTGTTGTCAAAACCTTGAACTGTTAAATTTTAGATGTGTCCATACAGAAAGCCACATTAATATCATAATCAACTTAAAAGAAAAATAGAATGAGTATGTAACACAGACTTCTGTTGAACGGCTTAATCTTTTAGGAAGGTTGATTCTTGACCTAACCTGAAATGAGGATTTCAAAGTCCAAATACTTTTTGAGTGGAGGGCCCTGTGTGTGCATAAAATCATCCATGGTTATCAAACTCACGGATCAACTCACAAACTCAAAAGGTTCATGCATTGGCCACAAGTAAACTTCTCTCCAAATTAATTTCTTGGTGGACAAGCATACTCGACCAAACTGAGTTCACACATGATAGACTTACAAGTTCACCGAATCCATTGTTTGGCAAAAAAACTGACATAAAATCATGTCATTTGACTATTTCAAACACATTTTGAGAACCCATATCACAATGAAGGATATGGGTTTGGCTTGCAACTTCTCCAAACAAAAAGAGTGTGCCCCTCATCAGCTAGTACTCATGATCTGATTCTGCCCTCTATCTCCAACCGCCTCAGCATCACATCACGTTGCAAAAATTGAAAAATGTAGGGAAGCGGGAATGGTTCAAACAATATAGAAGTTTCCTCACCCTCTAGACATAGGAGGAGCAAGTTCAGCTGACCCAACTCTAGATGCACTCTGTTGATAATTTAGTTTTTATGCCAATATTGATGATGCCCACTTTTCTATCAGGGAAAGAGCTTGATGGCAATGAAGATAATGATCTTGGAGATGATGTTGTTAGAGGATTGGAGACACAAACTTAAACAATTTTCCATTCTTAGTTATTTAATTGTTTTCACCTTAAGAACTTATGTTTTGTAATTGTATGAACGTATCTATTTATTGTAGTTTAAACTTATAATAGTCATACACCACTAAACTTAGTTATTATAGAATTTATGGGATTGAAAAGTTGAATTGGAATGGTATTATATTTACTTTTTCATATGACGTAGACTCTCCAGTTTGATAATCTTGTGCCACCAACGACCAACACTATCATTGTGCAAAGCAAAAGTCTAATATTATCTGTTACTCCAAAGAAAAAGTTTAATATTATCTGTTACTCCAGATCAACCGTTGCCCATGTTGACCCTAGTGCAACAGAAGTAGGGTTATTGAGTACCTAATGCTATTAGGGCCCAAGTCAAATAAAAGGACAGGTTGTCTAGACCACATGCAGATTTTAATGTCTAATACGTAGGAAATGCAAGTACTGTGCCCTAAGCAAAATAAACATCATTTTCACACTCTTGTATATGTACATCTATAACTATAAAGTGACATATAAAAACATTTAATTAAATCCTAGAAATTAAACAGACAATTGAATAATCAAATCAAGTGAATAACCACATACCGGACGTAAAGGAAGTCCAACAGGGTTAAGAAGTGGCCGTGCCACAATATGATCTCGAGGATGATGATATCGACAAGCTAATCCAAATTTACAGTCCCCTGTTCTCAGATAGTATTGGCATTCAGGTTCACCAGGTCTTTCAGGAAATAATTGTTCCTTCAGGCTGCTTCCTAAAGGGCCAGAAGTAGAGGGAAGGGGAGTATATGGTCTTGCAAAAGCTGATGTTGGTGATGATAACTGGGTCATTCCATATAAAGATGTACCCCCAACGGCAGGTTGAGCACCAGGAGATGGCACAGGACTTACAGGTGCCTACACCAATTTAAAAATTTCAGAATAATGCAACTCCTAAAAGTTAACACAAAAAAGATGACTTTCCACAAGACGCGCACACATGTCCCTCTCACCGAATAAGGACTCCATCCGGGAAATGGGACAACCCCTGGAGAAAGAAGTACAGGACCATAGGCCCCTTGAACATATGAACCAGGCAACATAGGAGGCCTAGCCACTCTCAAGCTTGAAGAAGCTCCTCCATACTGTTCAGGCAGAGGAACTGTAGGAGACTGCACCTGTTGATAAAATTGAGGTGCAGATGCTGGCAATGACGTACCAGCAGGTTGAGGATGATGGAATTTACAAGATATACCAAATTTGCACTGCCCCGTTTTCAAATAGTAGGAGCATTCTTTCTCACCCTGTTAAACAAAAGGCATGGTTCAACATGGCATTATTTATACTACTGTCAATTACATGACGGACAAGAGGAACAAGAAGTGTCATACAGGCCTTAATGGGTATCCGTAGACATTTAGTGGAGCTTGGCTTAAATATCCACCTCCATTTTTAGGATGGTGGAATTTACAGGATGCACCAAATTTACAGGTTCCCGTTTTTAAATAATACTGCTCATCAGAAACACCAAGTATTAATAACCACATTAAATTAGAAATATAAGAAGAAATTGGTAGATTTTATTTGAGAAAAAACATTTAAAGAGGCCAAAAATAGCATACCTGACACGGAGGTTCCCCCACCCTTTCTGGGTACTCCCCTGTAGCTCTTACTGCCGCAGCAACCTAACGCATTGATATTTATACACTTTAGCAATAAGATGTAATAAAGAAAAAACTTCGTCATCCACATTCTCCAATTCTCACTTTGGAAGTACATTTCATATTGAGAAAGTCAAAATGCAATCCCCCCTTCCTCGCTAAAAAGGAAAGAAAAAAAAACAAACTACACAGTAAACGAACATTCATACACAACATCGACCTTCGGAAATAAGTAATAACACCAACACAGAGCCAAAAGAGACACGAAAACAATGCCTACCAAAAAGCAACAGCAACTAGACACTTGCATGAAACTCTAACCTAATGCAGAATCTCAAAGTGATGGAAAGTGTTACCGCAGCACGGTCACGAGGATGATTGTAACGACACCTGCCTCCATATCCACACACACCAGTTCGCATGTAATACACACAATTGGGCACACCGAGCCGCTCCGGGTAAGATTCCCCACCACCCAACGTTAAATGCCACATGGATTCTGCAGAAACCGAAAAACCCTAATCAGAAGCCACAGAGAAACCCCTAAACTAACACAAGTCAGCTTCCACATCAAGCAAACCCTAAGATAGGGAGCAGAGAAGAGAGAAAGACCTTCGAGAGCAGTGTCGGTGCCCGGTGAGCGCCATTCGGGTTGGTTAACCGGGTTGGATCCATTCCTGGCGGGGGTCCGACCGTACAAGTCCATGGAAAAGGTGTGAGAGTCTGGGTGTTTGAAGTGAAGAAGCAGTTTCCAGCTAGAACGGTCTAGAATGTTCTGGAAGATGAGAGAGGTGTGGTGTTGTTTGGAACCCACTAGATAGAGACTGGTTTGAGCGGTGTTAGTGAGTGAATATGTATGTGTTTTTGTTTCCCTTTTTCTCTATGACTGTACGATGTCTGATGTGGTGTGTTCACTGTGTTGCGCTTTTCAGCCCGATTTTCTTTCTCTGTTTTTCCTATTAATTTTCGTTTTTCTTTTTTTGTGATTTGGGTGTCTGCGTACCCGCCAAATAGCGCAAAATGTTATGTTCCTTCCAACATCATCTTATCCTGTCATGTTTTAATTAAACTGAAAAAGCAAGACCTAAGCTAACTTAACAGGTAACCGACACTCTTCCTTCTGTGAAATTACCTGGATGACCTTCTCTCTATGTTTTTTCATTCTTTTTTTCTTATTTGGGATTAGAGTTACCGATCAATTCTAGAATTGTTTGATATTCAATGTGATACTTTTCATTTTAAACTTTTTAAGTGAGTTTTTTTTTTTATGTATAGCCTAAGGAAGAGATTAAATGTAACGAGGAATTATTTAATGTCAGTTTAAAAAATTGGGATTATTAAATTTTGCTGCTTAAATTTAATTTTTAAAATAGATACTCTGGTTTGAAAATATGGTGATTCCTCTTTTTAGTTAGAGCATTTAATGTTTATGTCTTGTTTTTCTTTGGCCTTCATGTCTTCATTTATAATGGTATATAATGAAGCTTTTTAAAAAAAATTATTTTTTATTTTATTTTATCAATTAAATTGTTAATTTTATTAATTATGACCAGGATCCAACTCTATATCCGGTCTAATTTTTACCGTCACATAATTTGACATAACATTTAATTACATATAGTTTTTATAAAATGATCAAGATTGATAAAAAAAATGAAAATGGGATACATCCCTCTCAACTCTTAAGAATAAGATTATTTAGAAAAATTGAAATAGCATACATCTTAAATTTAAACCTGCATTATTATATCAGTTTTATTTTCATAATTATCACTATTATTTGTAATGCCAACCATCAATCACAATCATCTCTCCTCTTTTTAGTTTATAATGATTAAAGGAGGGTGATAATACAATTACATTTTAAAAAATAAGGGTATGATAATGATTGCATTGCTTTTTAACTGTGAAATGTAGAAGAAAAGCATAAGTAACTTCATTAAGAATTCATCAATAACCAACTTTTTTATATTATTCATTCGTGTATTTTGATAGTATTTTTTAAGTAACAAAAGAAAATCATTTGACACCTACACACCAATTTTATATCTCAAAAATAAAACAAAGACAAACATTTATATAGATTAAAATAAAATTGGTTCTTTTTAGATATATTAAAATTATGTTAACCCATATTAAAGAAAAATTTTAAAAAACATTGAATGCATTTCATTTCATGTGACACTTTACTTATGGAATTTCTATATAGTACTCCTCTGCACAAGTATAGGGTCCCATTAATATGATACCAAACCACTAATTTATACCAATCAATCTATTATTATTTTAAAAGAAGTAAATAATATTTATTATTGCATGTTTTTCTCATTGTTTTTCCTAATATTATATCTCTTGTTTATAGTCTCTCTCCAACTTTTTATAATAAATGATAAACAACAGAAATAACACCACCTACCATGAATCATGAACATTAATCATACTTGTGTTTCTCTCATCCTAAACTCTAAAAAAAATTAATCGACATGCGAAAGAAGAAATGTTCTGGACAATGACTTGAGTTTCATTCTTTCCATAAGACAATTCAAATGAAAAAAACAAAACATTCATAATATAAAGTCCAAATCCAATATAAGATTTTTAGATAAAATATTGAATTTAAATTTTGTTCTGTGTTGAATTCCTTTTTCTTCTTCCTTTCCTTATGTGGACGAAATATGATTCATTTTGTTTTTACACAGAAAGATGAAACAGGATTACACGTATTGAAAGTACTAAATTTTTGAATTAGAATATTTAGGTATTTGTTTGATCACTTGTTTATGTTCAATTTTAGCAATCAAAAGACAATATTGTTTGAATACCAACCTATTATCTTAAACTAATATATTTAATTTTATAATTCATCCCTATAAAAATATGTTATAGATTTAAGTATTGTGGAGTGAGTATATCCGGCTATTATTTCAACTAGTCATAATATTATAGTTTTTTTTAGAGAAATGCAACATTTTATTTATTTTTTAATTTCTTTTTATGTTTATTTGTTTTTGAGATTTCATCTTATTCTTGAAGTTAAAAAATTCAATAAAATAAAGATCATACATTCACCATTATTATTGAAAAGATTCATAACAATAAATTCTATCCTTAAAACAATAAGTGGTTTATGATATTAATTGTGGTGTAATAAAATGTTTGATACCTAACTAGAGTATACAACCGATATTCATGGAAAGAATACAGTTAATAAAGGTCAACAAAGAAAAACTTAAAAGCCCAAACTTTTACCGTTACAAAGTGTTTAATTCGTATGAAAATAAAACATGTAGAAATCAAATTACACGTGTGCTTTTTCAAATTCTTTGTCAATATTTTTCAAATTACAAATTATAGAAAAAAATTAAAATATCAAATGAATTCTAAATTTAAAATAAACTATATCTTTTTGGAAATTCTATTGAATCGAATTTTAAAATGCTTAATTAGATTATAATAAATGTCTGATAAAAAAAATTAACAAATTAAAATTATGTTGTCTAAAAGTTTTAGAATAGGAATTTCAACTCAGTATGTATAACTTCTTTCTTCTAAAAGCTTATTAAATGATTCCAATTTCTAACTAGAACATTTGTGTATTTTCTTTCAAATTTGAGTAATTAAAACCTAAAAATATAATCAAAATGAAGTAAAGGTCGAAATTATTTCTATTTTCTCTTACAAATTTTAAAAGATATTAAAAGAAAAAGATATTGAAATTATTTTATGTGAAATTCACTAATGCAACAAAGGTTGGTTTTTTATTTTTATGTTGGTTAAAAAAAAGTTTTCTATACTGATTTTAGAACTTACATAAATACAGTTGGTATAGAGAGTCTACATTCTATGTCGATTATGACGACGACTGACATAGAAAGTTGCATATGCCTATGCTTAAACTCCACTTAATAGAAGAAAGCCCATCATAATAGGAAATTCGTTGAAAAGAAGATAGCACATTGACACCCGTACTTGTCCAAAATATCTCATGTGCACTGTGTAACTTTGAATCAGTTATTGCTTTGTCGAGCAATGTTATGGGATTAGATCTCAAATAAGCGTTCATCAACTTCACATAAAGAAGACCTATGAGAATGCCATCGAGATATGCCTAATAAACGAGACCTAACATAAGAAGCTGAACAAGAATCAACTTGGCTCAAAAGGCATAACAAAATGAAACAATAACTCCATGGACATAAGAGTAATCACTAGAGAAATCAATGGCATATTCATTGTAGTAAGATTTGTCATAGTTGGATATGAGAAGTAAGGATTTATCTAAAAGTATGGTAATGCCCTAGGAGAGGAGAAGCAATGAAGCAACCATGGAAGCGAAATTAACGCTTTGTATTGATGTTTCCAACTGAAACCCTTTCAAGAGAAGCAATAACATGTTGTACACAAGGTGTGGCTCGTCAATGCGGTAAAACAACAACAATAGGAAGCATTTCAAGTCCTTGTGTTTCTAATAGAATCATAATTAGAATGAAGAAGCTTTGAATGAAATGTTTATAGTTATAAGAAGATGAATTGAGAAAGTTACCTTAAGAATGAGAGAAGGGTTGAATTGGACTTGTTGGATGTGAGGAATGAGTGGATAGAAAAGGAAGGAGAGGAGATAAATGAGAGTGTTGGTGGCAATGAGGGCAACGATCACTTACAACTTATGCTTTGACCAGTAATACTTGTTGAAGGTGTGGAGTGTAAGGAAAGGAAGCATTCCATGAGGAGTGATGAGGGCAAGAACGACAGAAATGAATGTAGCAATGCAAAGAACAAAAGTTGCAACAATGAGGAATGACGATGAGCGAGGACCACGAGAGGGAGGTGCAAATGCAAGAGCGAATAGACTTCAATAGTGTAACAAGGAGACTTTGATGGGAGAGAAATAGTGCGACCGACATAAAGGGAGAAGAAGTGTTGAGGAGGAGCAAATGGAAGAAACTGAAATGAAGCGCTTCACTTTCTATGTCGGTTATAGGCATAACCGGCTTAAAAAGTCTTATATTTTTTATTAAATTGTCACTATTTCCAATTTCTATGCTAGTTATAAGTATAACCAACATAGAAAATCTTTTACTTTATTACGAAATTTTCATCGTACCAACTTTTTATGCTAATTATAGTGAGAATTGACATTAAAAGTCTTATTATATTTACAATTATGTCACCATGTCACTTATTACTGTATGTGAATTATAACCAACATAATAAGTTGTCATAAACAATATTTTTGCACTAATGATTATCATGACTCCTTCAAATTTTTGGATAAAGAGTTGTTTGAGTCTATATTTCAAATTTTTGTATAAAAATTAAATCTATTCATATACTTTTTACAGAATATCCCTTTAATTTGGAGTAATTTCTATATCTCATTAAAAAGATAATTCTAGTGTCAAGGTCTCTTAACACCAATTAAATGATTCATCTTTGTATCATGACATATTAGTAATCTTTATTTACGTACTATTCTTAACAATTGTTATGCAAGTAGAGTCATAATCGTCATTATAAAACATTTATAGAAAAATTATTATATATTATTCTCATGTAGATTAATGAAAATTCAAAATAATGAATTTAAATAAGAAATTTATTAGTATTTAAATCATTTGGATGTTCAAAACTTACATTTCATAAAATTTTGAAGAAAAAGGAAGAAATTTTAAAAACCAAAAATATAATTTATTTCTTTTTAATTTATTTGGAAATAATATTTCGTTAAAGTCAATCTAGATTATTAAAACCACAAATAATATGGTGATATACTATTTAAATTTTCCTATATAAACTATATCAATGTAAAAAATTTAAGTTTATTTTTTTATATAAACTATATTGTTACTATGGGCTCACAGACTACCTATCGGTCTTAGGGCTCACAGGCTACCGATCGGTCTTAGGCTATCGATCAGTCTCGACAAGCTTCTCAGCGGTTTAATCCCGACAACCATTTAGCGGAGTTAAGGCGCAATAAATGTAGTAACGGCTACCGTTAGA